TGAAACGTTGCTACAACTTTCAAAGCACAACTATAATGACGTGGGAAAATACCCGAACAAAGCTGAATACTACATATATATGTGTATATATATGTATACACAAATACATATATATATGTATATATAAAAGAACCACAACAGCCCATTGCTTGCTGGAAAATTCGGGGGCTTTAAAGTCAACACATCTTAAAGTGTCAAGTAGCCAGATTTCCCATTATATAGGAGCCTCAAAACACTTGCTTAATTTTAGAAAATAAACCAAGAACTAGATTATATGCTATGTAAATAAGTCCCAGAGACATGGCTAAATTATTGTGTCACAGATAACACCATAAGGTATTTTCAGATATACTAAAATTAGTTATGTTGAATAAGTTTGCAATCTATGTATAAAAGATGAGCTAATAATAACACTGGATATTATTTATTTTGTAGTAAATGTATTAATTTTAATTGTGCTGCAAGCTGATATTACGAGGCAAATTCTCAGAGTCAAATGTTAGCATATGAACAATTTGTCCAAATCAAAGACCTAGTATCAAGCACAATAGATACTTAGGGAGATAGGATGCTATAGGAAGATAAGAAATTAGGTGGGAAATGCCTCCTTCCGCTTCCATTTTTAAAATCATACAGTCAATATTCTGAGTCAGTAACCAGGACAGAGGTTTAGTCTTCCGAACATTCAGACTTGTACTGGAGCCAATTCTCAAAGAACTTTTCTCTCACCACATTCTGATGAGAAAGAAGTTCCCTCGGAATGGGCTCCAGCACAACTCCGAATGCTTGGACAACTAAAACTCTGGTCCTGGTGACTGACCCAGATTGGATCCTGCAACATTATCCTGGGACACATATATTTGCCTTCATTCGTGAGCCAATATTCTTTTCTTCAGTGGATACTATTTAACCATTTGCTAAATCATCTATAAAAATCTGAGTTTAATATATCACCTATATTGTTAATTTTGGTTTGATTTGCAGGACTATTTCCTTTTTTGAAAGATACAAGAGTTTTACTCTTACTTTTACATCAGCATTTTATATATAAGTATAAAAACCTAAAGACCAAAGGGTAGATTAACTCCTAAAGAAATTGTAATATATGCTAAGTAAGAATGGAAATTAAATACCTCTTAACTACTTTTCCCCCCGTATAATAGAGTGATGCTTGAATGCTGATCTGAGAAATGCTACGGTATTTCACCATAAGAGCAACTGTGAGTTGTCTGAGCAAATGGAGGGGAAATTAATACCGTAGCTTCAGTCATTGGATATGATTGACAGTATATGATATGAAATAATAGTCTTTCAAAGGGCTTGTATTTTAGATCCTCAAAGAAATTGCTAAGTTACTGCATTTCAGGTCAAGATCTTCAAGTAGCACAATTATCAAGAAGTGCAAAAATTGTTTCCAAGGTTTTAAAAAATGTGCTAATTTAAATAAGAAATTGTTTGCCATTTTTATTTTCTGGGGATCTCATATAATGGATTTTATTTTAAAAAGTGTTCTAAGTTTAATGATGGCCAATTTTGGCATGCCTCTCCCTCATTTCAAAAACAGCCACATTTTAAAAAAATGCTCATTTGAATTTTTTCTTTTTAAGTTTTATATTGAATTATTTTGAATTTGAGTATGCTACATCAGTCAGTAAGTGGAAAAATATGTTGTGACATGAAAAACAGTTCAGCACTCCTAATTTGAAAGTTAGTTCTGCTAAATTAGTTGGATTTCATTCAAAACAAATTATTTAAGAGCAATCAGTTTTCTGTTTGTTAAAAAAATGTACTGCAAGCTGGTGCTTTCTTCATATTTGTCATATTTGATTTTTTTTGTCTTGTTTAGTATTTTTAAAAGACTATAAAATATCTCTTTATTGAGGAACATCAAATCATTTGATTTGCTAAACCTCTGTGGTACTACATACAGTTCGTGTTACTTTATGCAAAGTTTTGTTTTTTGTATTATTTAGAATATGTTTTCCTGGATCAAAATTGTAAAATGAGTTTTATCTGTGAAGTAGAGGCATTTTTAACACCCGTGTTTGATTAAATACAAAGTACGTATTTACAGTAAAGCACAACAGTAAGATCCATTTATAAGCTGCACTTAGTAATCCACTTAACCAGGTTGTCCACCAAACCAACTCAGCATAGTTGAACTTGGCTAGTACTTGGATATTAACTCATCAGAAATTCCTAAGCTGTAGGATTTGTTCCTAAGAAGGCTACAAAGACATATCCCTAAAGTTATTAGGGATCAAGTTTGACTCAAGAGGCTATTTCCTTTAAAAAAAAAAAACATCCAACACAACCACCTTTGCAAATTTCAGGTAGGTTTTCATGCACATTCTTTTGGAGAACCTAAGTCGGCCTTTATATGTTACATGCCCAAGACTGTTGACTCTCTCATTTGATGTTTGTCTTCCATACATAATTCATATACAAGGTGTTTTCTTTTTCCCCCTTTTATAGAAATTATTGAGCCTACCACTACTAGTCGTGTCTCAAGCTCAGGTCAGTATCCTAGTACATCCCACCCCCAAAGTATGCTTTGGCACCATTTTCCCCCTTTTTGAGGAATGATAGTATATATGCTGTCATATCAATCTACATCCCCTTGATGCTGAACAGTATTATTTCTGATACTGCTGAGCTGTTCCTTTTCTGCTTGTGTAGTCATAGTTTGTGTTGCTCTTTGGGCAAATGCTAGCCTGCCTTCATAGATACTTTTTTGTTAAAGTGCTTCTCTTTTTCTGTGTGTCCTAAAGATCACCTAGCAGATGCATAGTATTGGCACCATTGTGAAGCATCTTCGCTTTTCTATTCCCTTTGTGATATTATCTGTGTTAAATTGATTATTGGCTGTTCTGCTATAAGCAAGGTATTTTTATGGGCTTTTGCTTTGTTTCTGTCCTTTCAGCTCTTTTTTGTGAATATTATGTGCAATATTGATTTCTAAATGTTGAATGTATCCATGGTTTAATACTATATTAATGATAAGAGGGATGTTTGGCAGAGATAACTATAGAAACCTGAAGTGGGGAAAACATTACAAATTCAAGTAATTGGGACTGATTTACAAACCAAACCTGAAAAATACAAAATGTCTGTACTTTGGTTTTGACTTGATAGGAAGTTAGAATAATTCATTGATATATGCATCTTGTTTCTACTTTTCATTACAGCCATATAAATTATAAAATTAGGGAGAACAGATAATATGGGAAGCACCATAGTGTAGCAGTCAAGGTACTGGATTCAGATGAGGAAAGCTTTCTAGTCAGTGTGAAAGTCACTGAGTATCAGGGCCAGGTACTTGCTCTTAGTATAAACTATATCATGTGCTCCTTATTGTGGAAATAAAATTAGATGAGACACACAAACACACTCCTCATTTTAAATCCCCTTGAGCTCTCAGGGGACAGAACAGAATATAAATGTCATAAATGTGCCTGCATTGTTTTATTAAATATTAGAGGAATGTCATGTTTCCTCATGTGGGCAAATTCAGAATTGTGAAATCAGGTCCCACATAATATATTTCATTTTAGTAATACTAGTAATGGCTGAAAGTCTGCTGCAGGCTGAGTGTCCTATTGTTGGCAGCCACAGAGCTGAGGATAATTACTAATTCAAGAATTTTGTCTATTGATGTTGGTCCCTTTTTAGTAATGTATCATTTGAACTGTGAAGACAGAGGTTCCTGCTGCTTTTATTTTATTTTTTATTTTTTTGAATGATACAGCTGTGTAGTGACAAAATCTTGATATGTAGGAAACACACTACAGGTAGTGCTCAAGTTACAACTACAATTGAACCCAAAATTTCTGTGGCTTAAGTGATTTAGTTGTTAAGTAGATTTTGCCTCATTTTACAGTCTTTCTTGCCACAGTTGTTAAGAAAATCACTGCACAGTTGTTAAGTTAGGAACATGGTTAATTGAATCTGGCTTCCCCACTGACTTTGCTTGTCAAAAAGTCGCAAAAGGTGATCACATGACCCCAAGACACTGCAATTATCATAAATGAGACTCAGTTGTCAAGCATTTCAATGACCATGAAGATGCTAAGTGTGAAAAATGGTTATAAGTCACTTTTTCAAGTCCTGTTGTAACTTCAAACAGTCACTAAACAAACTGTTGTAAGTCAAGGACTACCTGTACAGTAGTGACTAGAATTTGTCTTTTTTTAAAGATTTTTTTTATCTGCCTATTTTTTTCATCCACAAATCGAAGTGGCGAACATACATAATATTCTTTCTTCCTCCTATTCTCCCCACAACAACAACCCTGTGAAGTAAGTTGGATTCAGGCAAAGTGACTAGACCAAAGTCACCCTGATGTTTTCTCAGGCTGAGGTGGGTCTCAAACTCATAGTCTCCTGGCTTCTAGGCCAGCACCTTCATCACTACACCAAACTGATGTAGGCTCTTTTTTTGTTCTTAGTACCATGAATAAAGAGAAAAAGGAAAAACTCACCAGAAGAAATTTCACTAAGGGGGAAACCAGTTCTAGCAATAGGATTTAGAGAAGTATATTTATTTGTAGTGTACCATCCTGATCTCTCCAGAGGAAATACAAGATGCAAATAAGATTTAAAATATTTCACTATTATTTGTTAATTAGATTTATATTACACCATTATTTTGTAACAGCTGAAGATGATGTGCATAATGCTCATTCCTCCTGTTTTCTTCACATAACCCTGAAGTGAGTTGGTAAATGACCCAAAATCACCTAGATGATGTCCATACCTAAAAGAGGACTAGAACTCCCAATTTCCCATCTTTTTTCTCTAATATCTGAACTGCTACAGTGAAGCAGTTGTGGTCTGTTGTATTGGAATGTAGGAAACAGCCTAAGTTATGAACTTGCATTGGGTCAAGAAAATAATATTTGAATCTTATTTGCATAGAAATAGTTGATGTAGTATTTACTAGGATGTACAGCAACAGCTTGTAGTGACTTTAAATTGTATGATTCATTCACTTAAAAAAAAAATAGGAGTGCGATTAATCAAGATTTGGCCAAGAAGAATGCAGTTTGGATGTTTAATGATCCTGTCATGGAGAATAAGTAATGAATGATGAGGAAGAACAAATTAGAAAATTATATAAGATGGGGAAATTTTTATTTTGATTTATTTATTCTTTTTCTTAAAATAATTCTGATCCTGATTTTCATTTTCTGTTGCTAACATTGATATCATCATTTCTTTTTGATACTAGTTTATCACACTTTCTCCAACAGCCTCTTGGCAGTAAACATATCTTGCTTGAAGCAGACTATTAAATCTCAGTCAACATCAGAAATACTTTGAGGTAAATTTCTTTAACATATCCTGAAAAAACAAAAATAAATTCTTGACAATTTGACAGGCAGGTGTTTCTGATGAACACTGCTGCAGCTGATGACAATTCAGAAATATTGGCACATTTGGACATACGCTAAACCAACTTTACCTAATGAGGTTTTATCATAAATTTTAAGTGTTTAGTAAAATTGACTCATGAGCAAGAACCTGGGGAATGAAATGAGAAATGTGGGAAAATATGAATGCTTCCTCTTCAGTTAAGATGGCTTTCGTCAAATAGAATTATAGGGAAACTGATAGGGTAGGAATGAAAAAAGAGATGGAGAAAAAGTCAGGTTGTTGTATAAGAGACTAGCTCGATACCTGTGCTTTGCTATGAAACTATGTGATTGGGCTTAGTTTTTCCGGAGGAAAATAAGGGGGGAGGAAATGGTGCCTCTGCCTCCCAGAATCCATCAGTATTCATCTGGCTAGTGTCCTGTCAGTGTGTGAGAGAGTTGAGGGCTCTTTGGAAACTGAAAAAGTATTTGCTGTGTGAGCAAGAAGGAGACATCAAGGAGCCTAGGCGTGGCTTAGCTCAACTGTTCTGTACTAAAATTGCTTGCTGCTGTGAAACTAAAACTGAAACTCCTCTCTTCTACTTGTGTTTTGCACTTGGAACAGATTTCTTTTCAGGTGGGGAGGGGAGTAGAACTCCTTAGCATCAGAGCATGTTAATAATAATATAGGAACTACTAATGCTCTGATGGTCATTTCAAAAAATCCTTTCTTAATGAGCACCTAGAAGCCAAGAGGAACATATTTGCCAAATTTCAAGTTTGTAGACTTTACAGTTCTGGAGATTTTGTGATGTGAGTGGTATTTCACTTTTATAGAGAGAGAGATTGATCACAAGGAATTTGCATATTTGGAGAACAGATTGTAACTGATAAAAAATATTGGAGATCCTGGTTTAGTGGTAGAATCTGTGTTTTGCATGGGGAAAAATAATCTATAGTTTGCTCAAGCCTGGACCTCACTCTATCCTCGGCCCAATGCATGTTCAAGTAAAATGAAGGCATTTTTCTAAAAGAGAATTTATGAACTAGATGAGAACCACCATTACTGCTTCAATTGCGAGTGTGCTGAAGAATCAGCATTATTCTTCTCAGTTTTTCTGCCATCAGCTGTTTTTCATGCTGTGTTAAACCTTTTAAACTCTGCTGCCTTGAACATTTTGCAATAACGTGTGGCCATCTCACAGGATCCTCAAAGAGCACCAATCAACTTAGCTTCTTCTCTAATCCAGGATAAATAAAGGTATTGGGAATTAACTTTCAAAAAAATTAACTGCTTAAAGGTATTTCTAGTATCAGTAGCTCAGCCTTCTCTCATATTAGCAACTTTGCAGAGATTGGAGGCTTAATGGGATACTTTCATTTCATGTTTCATTTAAGGCTGAACTGCTTATCATAATACAAAACTTGTAGGCAAGAATAACTATATATTTCCGCCTGTGTACATGAAATTATAATATATTCTACTACCATTTATTAAAATTCTGCCTGTTTATAAAAGGAATATCTGCTGAACAAATAACTTAAAGCCTATTTGTGGTTTAGTTGATAATAGTTACATATTAAAATTCCAATGAGAAATATAGTCATCTCACAAGACCCTCAAATAGCACCGATGTATAATAATGTTATGTTATTGAAAAATACTGAATTTATTTTATTCAGACTTGTCAAGCAAGACAACTTGTGAAATTCTAAGCAACTGTTGAAAGTGAGATTCTTACATGCATATTATGTATATAACAAACTTCTTCCAAGCAATTAATGAACATGTTAGAGAACTGCAGCCTATTCTAGTCCACTTAATACCTCTACTCAGTTTGATTAGTAACTATTGATGACCAATCCCTGAATATGTGTTAAAGACAACGGTGCTTTGTTGTAGCTATCAGATGTGGGCAGGGAACACCCAGATGGATGGAACACTAATTTGAAGCAAAAACAATTTTCAGTATTTCTTTGCTGCCACCAACTGATTATCCATGATGCATGTTGTAAAATATGTTGTAGAAATTTTAAAATGATCCCTGGAGGTTCCACTAATGTAGGAGAAAATTCACCTTGCTAAATTATATACGTCACACATTGTCTTGGACTTTATCTATGATATACAGCTGTGGATGCCTTATAAACACAACTGCCAAAT